ATTCGCTCATTCAGGCTCACGTATTTGCCAGAAGGACATCTGTAAGCAGGGAATAAGTCAGCACAGAATTTGATTGTCGGCGAATTTCTGTAATCGTTCATCATTCTGTTAGTGATAATCGAGCCATTTATTCACTCATCTTACTTGTTTGGGACTGAGTCTTATTCCACCAAAGAGAGAGAAAGTGTGTGTGGCAAATTATTATTATTATTATTATTATTATTATTATTATTATTATTATTATTATTATCAATAGAAATTTGTACCATGCAGTTTCTATGAAAATATTCAACTGCGCCTTACATAAGAAATTAATTAAAGATGCAAAATAAAACACAAGTTTACAATGCTAAAATTCCTAATGAAAAGCCTTACTAAATAAGAAAGTTTTTACCGTTTTTTTTATAAACAGATTTAGACTGGAAATAGACTGCATCATAGATGGAAGAAGGTTCCAAAGTCTGGGGGCAGCACAACTGTATGACCTATCCCCTAAGGTGATCTTAGTTCTGACTTTTGGTGATGCTAATTAAATACCAGAGTCATGATTGTGCCTTAAATCACACTCAGATGGAGGCAGGATAAATATTAACTAGCCCAAATGATCAGATGCCACAACATACAAAACTTAAATTGTACGGAGTAATATTTTGTGTTCAATATGGTTAGCAAACAGGTAACCAATGTAGCTCATGAAGCACAGGCGCAATATGGCAGGACTTTGGGGTGCAAGAAATTAAGCGAGCACTTGCATTTATAACACACGGCAAATTAGATTGCTGATATTAAGGCAAATGCAAATCATTTCCAATCAAAGATTTGTGAACTCATATACACAGTTACATGCAACTTGTATCTTCATCTGCACTTACAAGTGTCTCTTGGTCCATCACTTTCAAAACAGAATCTCCACAGAATGTCACTGATTACATGTAACACTTAAGAGTATTGCCCAGTAAAACAGTACAATAAATGTCACAAAATCCACCTAAGTGGTCCCTTTGAGGGTTTTCTGTTTTACGTCATCCTAACCATCTCTTACTTGTGGGCACAAACAATAGAAACGTCATCATTACCTGCTGATTCCTTGTGGCCCCTGTTCAAGCAACTTGAAATTTTTCTGG